TACGGCTACGTCGATGCCGGGGTCGCCCGGCCGCGACCTTAGCTCGGTGATGTGTCCATGTCAACGATGTACGATAATCGCCAGCCAGCCTCGGGCACTGCCGTGGAGACTGCCAACATGCGTCCAGTCCCATTGTCCTGGAAGTCAACCTCGAGAAATGATCATTGGGGTTAAATTGGTGGTTTCGAAGCGGGGAGGGACCTGCTCTCCTTTTCGCCCCGCATTAGGGCCCTATGCCTCGTGGCCAGGGTTGGCAAGTATAATACGTCAAGTAATATACGTGGTTTTCTACACGTATATTGCAACGTATAATATCTCCCTACTTTCCTACGCAGGCACGAAGGATATTACCCCATACTAAATGTGCAAAGCGCATGCGCATTATCGCCAATAGCCAATGAGAGTCTACCTATTTACCTCTAAGAGAGATTCTCATTGGCCATTACGTTTTACGCATCCCCGAATCCGCATACATTCGACATCAGCCTTGGAAATTTGAAATCTATGCAATATATGTGCATTTGACGTTTGTTTATAACGGCTGATAACGGCTATTTGAAGTCGTAAGATTCGTAACCAATATTTGTATCAAAATGTATAAAGATGGAAGGCCAAAAAGTAAATTATGGGATGAAACAAATGGACAAGATGGATGTTTATAACCTAGCGGATACCGCATGCCCTAAGGTGCGTAAAGCTGGCACCCCCACCTTTATAAAATTCAAATTTCTTTGTCTTAACATTTTGTGCTCTTTATGTGCTAATTGTGTGCTACATTCGCAAATTTTGTGCTAGCTCGCCTATTTTTTATTATTTAAACACATTTTTTAATGGTGGGAAGCTAGCTTTATTAGTACCCAGCACCCCCACAGAAAAATTGAATTTTTTTCCAAAAACCGAGATAGCACAAAATTTGCGAATGTAGCACATAATTAGCACATAAAGAGCACAAAATGTTAAGACAAAGAAATTTGAATTTTGTAAAGGTGGGGGTGCCAGCTTTACGCACCTCATGCCCTACGTCTGTCTTATATTTGATACGTTTTTATTTTATTTTGATACTATATTTGATACGTTTTCTCCTGGTTTCCTAAGTTTTCTCCGGTAAACTACTTGATTTACGTAATATACGTCAAAAACCCCGAAAATCGTGAAATTACTCAACTCTGGTTGTGGCTGTGTGGAAAATCGGCGGAAATCTCGAGGAAGGCCGGTGGAAGCAATTTTTCATTTAGATAACCATTGCCGTGAATGAGTGATGACGTTTAGAGAAATTATTCTATAAATTAAGGGGACTCGTATAACAGGGTTAAAGGGAAGTGAGACTCCCCCCCTTTAATCAGTCGATTCCAATAAGACACTTTTTCTCTTTTAAGGGTATTGATAGACCTGTCTAAAACTTTGACACGTGATTCGTGGGCACCTAGGAATTATCCTGACACTTTTAACCCTTTTACTGCCGGAGAACGTTATATCGTCATTTTACAAGGACTAACGACTTCGGCCGGCACTAAAAGGGTTAATAATTGGATTTTTGAACAATAATTGTTTAAGCCCAGAGCAGAACCAAGATGCTGTTGAACTCTCATATTTCGATCGATATCCAATTATTGAAGGCTCTAATATGAGAAATGGAAGGGTCAGGACAATTGTATGACAATTTAGAACACTCTGGTAATCGATAAACTAGCGTTTGCACGAGATAAAGACAAAGAAAGTATCTCATGCGCGGATATGCTAAAACGATGGTAATACGAGGTTTCCGAGTGAAAATTTAGTTGACATAGAAATTACAGATGGCGCATGGTGTCCCTCTGCAGTCAATTGGGGAATAAAAAACCACGAATCCATAGGATTTCTGGAGTTTTTCTTCGATTTCTTTATAATTATTGTACGGAAACGACATATGGAGTATGCCATTTAATGCAATACCCAATATAATTCGAAAAAGCTGTCAAACACAGGCTCTAATATGAAAAACGAAAGGGTCCGGACAATTGTACAATTTAGAACACTCTGGTAATCGATAAACTCTCGTTTGAACGAGATAAAGGCAAAAAAAGTGCCGTATACGCTGCTATGCTAAGACAATGGTAATATGAGGTCTCAGAGTAAAAATTTAGTTGACACGGAAATCACAGATGGCGCAGGATGTCCCTGTGCAGTCAATTACTGCCTCAGCAAGCATGAATCCATAGGATTTCTGGAGTTTTCCTTCGATTTCTTTATAATTATTGTAGGAAAACGACAGGTTGAGTATGCCATTTAGTACAATACCCAATATAATTCGACACAGCTGACAATATAAAAACGGCCGTCAGCAACGTAGGTATCTATAAAAATCTTCTTCACCGACGTTGGTCAAGTTCCTCGACGTGTTTCACTTCACCTTAAATAAATAAGTTTCATTCGAAAAGGGAGTCGGAACGATGTTTTTCCCTGAGAAGTCTCTCCCGAAGAAGGCGGACGATGAAAAGCTCATTAACAGTAAAAAGCAAGTACTTGTTCAATTGATCCATGGAGCTAACCCGCACATAATAACTTTGAGATGGCCAGTTGCGATGAGCCAATTAATTTCTTTTCTTTTTTTTTCCCAATAAATTCCTGGAAATGCCGCGATCGGTTAATTAGTACGAATTGAGTCGGCGGCGAGGTTTAGTTGCATAATTGAAAAACCAATTGGACAACCAAACGCACGGTCGATTGTTGTATGAGCAATGGGCCCACTCGGATCTCGAGCACTCGATGCCAGTGGAGTTACGAGTGTCTCCAGGAAATTAATAATTGACCTGCAGATCGCGCAGTCGCGTCTGTCAGCCATCTTTGCGGGCCAAGTTCCATCGCTCAGACGATTCCAACATTGTCCCCAGAATTCAAATAAAGTCCACGATCCGCGGATTAAATAAAACGGAAGAGTCTCCACAGATGTTCCCAACTGGTTACAAGAAGCCAGGCGTAATCTAAAATTCAAATGAAAGAGAATCACGAACAAACTGGGAAGTACTCTCTCTCCCTAGACGTTTCGACAGTATCTAGAATTCGCAGATTAAATAAATAAAGAACATTTCTTCACAGAAGTTTTCAATCCTGATAACGAAAGCGAACTATACAATGCGTGGATGAAATAAGAATAAATCAGTTTATAGACGGTTCGCCTCGAAAACTCCAAATGACCTTTGTTAGAAATCCGACGAAGAAAATCAGCAATTCACGGATTAAATACAAAATCTCTCCGCACACGTGAAACTTCTACTCACCTGTTGAAGGAACTCAATACAAAGTAACAACAATTGCAAAAAAAAACGAAAAAAGGGACTGTCCAAAATTCTTAGGCCCTTACTCATATCTCACTTTTAGCAGCGCTTTTAACACAAACTACCAAAACGGGTAAAAATGACTTGTTTCAAATGCCTCATCCTATAAAAAAAAAATCTGCCGGTCGTCCTAGTGTTAAACATCTTTTAGTTAAAGATGATCGGACCGCTGCTAAATACCACGCCTTTAACACTAGGACTACCAAAAGGGGTAAAATGACTTGTTTCAAATGCCACATCCTATAAAAAAAAATCTGCCGGTCGTCCTAGTGTTAAATATCTTTTAGTTAAAGATGATCGCTGTTAAAATACGCCATATTCATACTTTCTCTTATAAGCGCTTTTAGTTAAAAGGCCGCTTTTACGAAATATAATATGACGTCGGAAAAATTTGACGACTGCGTTCCGCGCATGCGCTCCGCATGCCCAGCGCGTGCGTTTTTTGTATGCCAAAAGTTCAGAGTGTGTTAACCTTTGCCTCAAAAATGGAAACGAGTTTGACAGAATAAAGTCGGAACCAAAGCCAAATATCTTGGTTAGCCAAAAACGACATAAATTCGACTTCAAACGTTCCTGGTATTTATTTGATGCCCTGTATTCACTTCGCGAGCTTTTTCTCTGTGAAAAATGTTAATGCATTCCACTTTTCATGTACGATTTTGACAACCAAAAGCTGTCAAAAATTGATGTATGATTTTGACAGCTAAAAGCGGTTTAAAGTACCCCTACACACTTTTAGGGAATCGAAGCGGCCTTTTATGCTAAAAGCGCTAAAAAAAAAGCTTAAAAGGGGATATGAGGAGATATTGCTGCGAAAATACGTAATTTATGGCATCTTTGATTTTGACAGCTAAAAGCGGTTTAAAAGTCCCCCTACACACTTTTAGGGAATCGAAGCGGCCTTTTATCCTAAAAGCGCTCAAAAAGAAGCTTAAAAAGGGGTATGAGAAGGTATTACTGCTAAAATACGTAATTTATGGCATCGTTGATTTTGACAGCTAACAGCGGTTTAAAAGTCCCCCTACAAACTTTTAGGAAATCGAAACGGCCTTTTATCCTAAAAGCGCTCAAAAAGAAGCTTAAAAAGGGGTATGAGAAGGTATTACTCCTAAAATACGTCTTTTATAGTTTCTTTTAAGGATTTTCTATAAAAATGGTTTAAAAGCGAGACATGAGTAGGGTCGCTTTTAACACTGCTCTAAAATACGTCTTTTAACGCTAAAAATGAGATATGAGTAAGGACATTAGAAAACTGCAAAAGTTCCACAGAACTTCTTACTGTCCTAACCTGTATTAACCTGTACTGTCCTAATTGACAGTAATGTTATTCGCGTAGAATTTGTTATCGAATAAAAAAGGAAAGAAAAATCCGCAGGTTATTTTCTTATTTTTCTAGGTCCGTTTTAACACATTCGCGACCGCTGACGTGAATTCACGTCTTTTCAAGTTCCATTCCTAGTTGCCGCTGACGTGAATTCACGTAATTTTAAATTCTATTCTTGATTGCCGCTGACGTGAATCGCGTCCATAACGATACACGACACAAGTTGGCGGCAACCAGTTTCAGAATTTCAGTATTTTCGCCGGTACTCTGTATTTGAAACGGAAAAAATTTGCCGGTCGCGAATGTGTTAAAACAACGTGTGCTGGATTTACAATAGCACCTCACGGTCAATTGATACGAACCGTCTCTTCTGATGTGTTTCCGGTCCTGATCAGCAACCTGCTGCAGGGGATCTCCTGCTCTCCTCTTGAGCGCGTTCTGGGATTGCTGACCGGAAGTTCCATGATCCGGAGAAGAGGAAGCGCACTGTGGCGAGCCGCTATTAGAGCGAATTTGTTGTTGTCCAGGATTCGTGCTCTGATTAGGCGAGTTACCCTTATCTTGCCACAGGACGTTACCCTCGCCGGAATACCCGAGAGACGCCTAAAAACGACAACTTTGTTATTTTCCCATAAATAATTACAAAGAAAAAGGTGCATGACAGCGATGTCATCTTTTGTAGTTCTAGCTTTCTCCTCTTTTTTTTGGCATTTTATTCGTTAAGGTGAAGTGAAACACGTCGAGAAACTTGATCGACGCCGATAAAGAAGATTTTTTTAAATACATACGTTGCCGACATTCGTTTTTATATTGACAGCCGTGTCGAATCATATTCAGTATTGTAGTAAATGGCATACCGCATGTCGTTTTCGTACAATTATAAATAAATCGGAGTAAAACTCTAGAAATACCCTGGCTTCATGGTTTCTGAGGCCCTAGTTGACTGCAGAGGGACTCCCTGCGCCATCTGTGATTTCCAGGTCAACTAAATTTTTACTCCGAGACCTCGTATTCCCATCGCCTTAGCATAGAAACGCACAAAACACTTTTTTAGCTTTTATCCCGTTCAAATGCGAGTTTATCGATTACCAGAGTGTTCTAAATTGCCGTACAATTGTCCTGACCCTTTCGATTCTCATATCAGAGCCTTCGATAATTGTATATTGATCGAAATATGGGAGCTCGACGCCATTTTGGTTCTGCTCTGGGCTGTTAAAAAATTTTTTTGAAAAATCCATATTTTCAATGTATCAGGACAATTCTTAGATGGTCACGAGTCATGTGTCAAAGTTTTGGACAGTTTGGTCCTATATCCTTAAAAGAAAAAGTGTTGTATTCGAATCGACTGATTTGAGGGGGGTTTCACTTCACCTTAAATTCATCATTCACGGTGCAGCGATGACGTGCTCGACTAAGTAGATTCGTTTCTCGAGCTCGACTTCATCGTCGACCGGAAGAATTTCATTTTGTAATATTTTCTCCTTTCCGACCTCCCTGAATATCTCTGCATAAAGCCGGGAATTCTAGAGTCTCCAGGGACGACGTTTATCAAAAGATTACGTTTCTCGTGCAACGTGGTTCCTCCATTCGCCCCAATTATTCTCTCAACTGGCGAACGACTAATGGCGCGACTCAGGAGGAAGAATAATCCGCGGTAATCGGCGGGAATTATGCGTAATTTGCGAGCCGGACTCCTCGTGAGATTAGCCAATTTATCGCCCGTCTGGTCCTCGAGATGTTTTATTTTTAATAATTTATGTTACTTCTCTCCGGCAAATAAACCCTCTTAACGTGTCACTTGCAACAATTGGAATTCTTCGCACATCCTATTCCGCAGGTTCAACTATTCCATCGTTTAAATTAAGATGATGTGAGAGGCGCCGAAGTACTTAATCGTTATCGGTAAAAACAAATTATTTTAACTTCTGAACATACCATCCGAAACAGCGATAGTACTTATATCGACGGTTGTGTCGTTTATAAGACATTTATGAACATATAATGACAAAATATGTGACCAGTACGCCACGTTGGTTCTGGTCTAAGCTAAATGAACCGAAATGTTTGTTGAAAAGTGCAATTTTTAGTGTCAGAAACGATTTCAACGCCTCTCTAATTATTCGGTGAAATTTCACACAAATCGATCCAGGCAATTTAAAAAAAAAAAATATGTATACGCGGAATATCGTTATCGTCTATTGGTACAAACCACCTTTTATATCTTGTGCAAAGAAAGTACGTGAGGAATAAACAAAATGGCAGAATAAATCGGATAATCTCACTCGAGTCTCGAAAATTGAGCGACTTCGGAGAATTGAAAAATAGACGGTGGGTCTTTTGTTGTTGTCTGTTTGTTGAAAAGTGCAATTTTTTTAGTGTCAGGAACAATCTCAACGCCTCTTCAATCATCCGGTGAAATTTTAGACAAATCGGTCCGCGCATTTCTTAAAAAAAAAAATATGTATACACGGAATATCGTTATCGTCAATTGGTACAAACCACCTTTTATATCTTGTGCAAAGAAAGTACGTGAGGAATAAACAAAATGGCAGAATAAATCGGATAATCTCACTCGAGTCTCGAAAATTGAGCGACTTCGGAGAATTGAAAAATAGACGATGGATCTTTTGTTGTCTGTTTGTTGAAAAGTGCAATTTTTAGTGTCAAGATCACAACGCCCCTCTAATCATCCGGTGAAATTTCAGACAAATCGGTCCGCGCATTTCTTAAAAAAAAAAATATGTATACACGGAATATCGTTATCGTCAATTGGTACAAACCACCTTTTATATCTTGTGCAAAGAAAGTACGTGAGGAATAAACAAAATGGCAGAATAAATCGGATAATCTCACTCGAGCAACTTCGGAGGATTGAAAAATAGACGGTGGGTTTTCTGAAAAGGTAGCGATGAAAAAGGTCTCACCTGTTGAGCGTTGATCGAGGAGCAGCCATGTTGATTGTTGGGTGAGAGTTGCTGATAGGGTGCCGGGGGTGGATTATCGAGCCACATGTTTCCGTTCATCCCTGTCCCGGGATCCATGATCAATTCCAGCTCCATTCGACGACTTCCCTCAGGCTGGGGGTCTTGACTTTATCCGGTGAAAAGTCGAATTCGATTTTCGGCCCCTTGAAGTCTTTCCGAGAGGGCCTGCCCTTTTCGGCCCCCGGCCTCTCCTCGCCGACTTCCTTGCCCGATGGGTTCGAAAATCGTGAACTTCCTCCCAATTGAAGCCGGCCCTCATCGATTGGGAATTTTGCCGAAGCTTTTCGAAACCTGTCTCGGAGTATCTCGTTCCACGACGATGGGATAAAACCGGTGCTCGAAGTTGCAGGTACCACGGATCCTTCGACTCGAAGTTCTCCAATTGATTGGCCGGCTAATACTCTCTCGTCCCTTGCATGAATACTTCCAAAAGTCCTTTCTCAAACCCCCTTAAAATTTCCGAGACTCGAGAGTCCGATCGTGCATGTCCTCCCGTAAGAATTCCAGGCCTCCTCTCTTCGTTGAATCGACTTGTCCGGGTCTCATGAATTCGGTCCTTGGAAATCCGTGTTTTCGAAAATCCAACCTTAGCAAAACCCTCTTTCCACCCTCCTTCTCTGGCGTCTCCTTCTTCTAGTTCCCTCCCAGAAAGCCGTACTTCCTCAGCGGGTCCCGGAAACTCCGGAAAAGGCCCCGAAAATCACCGGGTCCCACTCTAGAGTCCCTTTCTCCCGCTTTTGGAGGCTCTCCTCCGATTTCCTCGCCCCACGAAGACTGGGGGCTCCACCCTGACGTTCCCCAACTTCCGGTCACGCCCGGAGCCTGAAGCGCATCCCCCAGGGGAGCTCTAGGAAGCTCGAGGTTACCGGGTTACCGGGTTTTAGAACATCACGAAGAAGCTGTTGTACAGCTTTTTGATACCGGTCGTTTCCCTCTGCCGGTGGGTCTCCAGAAGGGCGCAGCCTCGCGACTTCAGGGCGAGAAAACGAGAGAAGACGATGTACGCGTCCTCGAAGACCATCGCAACGCCCTCGCCGCAACGCATCTTGTTCCGAATTCCTGACAGGAATTCTCTGTCTAGGAGGTTTTCGACTACTCCGACGATAAGGCGCCCTTTTGGGCCCTTTTTTGGCTGGTCTTTTGGATTCTACTCCTCTTGGTCCACCCTGAGACGTTGACTTCTTCGCCCCAAGATGGCGGCGTTCGGTGCGGAGCTCGGCGGTCTCGAAAATTCTCTCTCGACAGCAGAAGGATCGCTACAAAAGATTCTTCCTTAATAATACGCCCCTTTTGGCTATGTCCGGGGTAACTATCGAAATTCTCCAAGTAGTTTCAACCTGGACGTCTGATTTCCTCTTCGACCGCTCAAGGACGCGGACTCCTTCGGCGATGCTCCAAGATGGCGGCCCCCCGTGCGAACGACGCTGGAGGTCTATAAAATCTCGCAAATGATCCGGAATAATTGTTGATACCTCTCCAGTGATATTTCAAAATGGCGGCACCTAGGGTGGATGAGTTTGGAAGCCCTAGAAATGTTTTCAAGGGCGCAAATAAACTCGGAGAAGATTTTCCACCAGTATAGCAACCTTTCTGGATCCTTTTCGAGTATCTTTCAGAATTCTCGAGGTGACCTAGGCTCCTCTTAGACTGGGCAAGGACGCGGACTTCTTCGGCGATATTCCAAGATGGCGTCGACTAATGCGAAACTTCCTTCGCGGTCTCAATCTGCTGCTGAAGATCTTCGAGATTCTCGGGAATTGATGCTCAGGTTTCTAGTTGATGTTTCAAAGGTTGTATTTCCAGGTTCTTTGGACTGTTTCGAACTCTTACGTTGTTCGTACACACGTAAGTCTACCGTAATCCAGTTTTTTGATTATGACTTCCTTCAAAATCGCCACGAAACTCCACCGGCTCGTATTTCCGGGTATTCTTCGGTGCGGCACTCGCAACGTCAAGATGGCCGCCTAGAAGGCAACTATTGATGCAAATACTATACTCTATTACTATGACTCACACACTGGTTAGTGTCTTGGTCAGAGGAGGTCACCTCCGAACACGTCGTCACCACATTTTCAGAATCCTTCGCTCCATGGCGAACGAAACGTGGTCGACACACCTCTAGGGATATTTTTCTTGATAAGTGGAAGTCCCTAGGAGAGACTTGGTTGCGGCAACACTCGAATGAAACCAGATCCTGCGAGTCTAGTAGGCCGCGAAACTTCGCGCGGGCGAAAATCCGACTTCGCGATTCCTCGAAGAAGCTCCTCGCACAACGGAACCTTTTTTTTTTTAGCTTCTCGCTCAAACGGTGGCAATTTTAATGTCTTTCAAAGAAGAGTAGCCAGTAAATTTGGGCCATTCAGTTGGCGGGAAGTATTGAGGACACGCCTCAAAACCCTCGACGTCGAAATTCGGCGGTGAAGCTTCAAGCTTCGCTTCTTCTCTGTCCCTGAAGAACTCGAAGCGACAAAATCTGACGAGCTGCTGAATGGCTTTTCTCTCAGGTTTCAATTTGGGCGGCTTAAAGGTTTCACAAAGGGGAGACTCAGACTTCAAGTTCCCCTTTTAGGGGGCTCCTCGCCGACGAAGTTCTCGCAGAAGTTCTCGACCGTTGGGCTCCGCTATTCGGATTCAATGTCTCTCGAATAAAAGTAGATAGTATATTAGCAACATTCAGGAAGTACACCCTGCGTTATATTCTCCCACAAACCGATGGCGACGTAGCGTAAGAGTCCCCAATTCTGGCGGAACTCGCAAAGTACCGAATAGGACTTCAACACCTTGAAGAGCTGAACAAATTCGGCTCTCGCAACTTCGTCCGCACTTCTCGAGACTCAAGAGCGACCGCTCGTCTTCCTCTTCCTTCCTGTCGTCGACTGGCGAAAACTCTTCAACTTCCTCTTGGATTGCTTCTTCCAGATCGGTCCACCGTGCACTCTCCTTCTTTCTTCACCTCGATCGCCTTCTCCCAAACTTCCTGCTTGGAGTTCAGCTCTTCAACATCCCCTCGAATTGGCTGCCCGTTTTTCTTTTTCTTCCCTTTTCCTGTTCCACCTGTTATCTCAGACTCTTTTCCCTCCACTTCTTGCTCTCCTCCGACTCGCCTTTCCTCCTACGTCGGTCAGAAGTCGCCCTGGAGGTTTCCGCGGACCCTGAAGAAGCCTCTGTCGAAATTTCGGATTCACCAGGGGAACGCAACCTCGATCAACGACCACAGAGAAGACGAGCGTGCTCTCAATTCCCCGGAGATGCTGCCGACGTGCAGGTCTTCAGCCGAGTGTGGAAGCGCGCGACGTCGACGATGATTCCTGGTCCAATGAGCTCCCAGGGAACTAACGAGCCAGCCAATCAGAACTCCGCTTGCTGCTCGACCTGACCCTCAATTGGGACCACTCAGTGCAGATCAGCTAAACGCCGCAACCCTAAAAAAAGGGCTCTTCGCAACGCGCGACCGACTTGCGTCTTCGTTTATTCGCTCCTCCGAGCGGATATCAATTTCTCGAATTCAGCTTTCAAATAATCTCTTCTAATTCCCCATATCCGCAAGGTTATCAATCTTCGTGAGTTTTTTTCACAGGCACTCCGAATCGCGTGGAAACGCAATGCCAGGAAATAAGAAGCCCAAACTCTGGAAAGGAAGAAGAACCGCGTCGCTCCAAAGTTAGAAAAGGGCTCTTCACAATCTGTACTGGACTTCTTTTTCTAATTACTCCTTTCTTCAAGCCGTTGTTAACGTGTCCAAACTTTCCGTTCAATGATTCTCCGTCACCTTTGGGGTATTAGTCTTCTGACTTATCAGTGCTCCAGACTGAAAATATGGGAAAAGGTGTAAATTCCGAAGCGAGTTCAGACTCTCTCATTTGATGTTCTACTCTGTTTCCGATTCTGGAAGACTAGTGGAATTCTTTCCTCTTAACTTTTGCTTCTCTGTTTTCAGGCGATGCAAGAACGGGCTGAGATATTGGGGCGAATGAATTCCGGAGAAGAAAAAAAGGAGAGAGAAACTAAAGAGGTACGATGCCACGAGAGGCTAAATGAAGACTCACGCGTAATGATTTGGCCTCGTTGCGGCAGATGCGGCAGACTTTCTGGGGAAAATCTACTTGTTTGCGGAAGGATCAATGGAGAACGTGGGCTCGCTATCTATCAGATAGCGTATCTCTTCTTGCTCTTCAAATCCAAAAAACCCGGAATAATGATCTCCGCGACGCTCAGGAAGACCACTGGCTTTCCTTCCTTATATCGGAATAACAATATTCCTTCGTCCTTCTTCAAAAAGTCCCCTTTCTCTTCTTTTATTTCCTTCTTTTAGTATCCTATAATCTCACGTCCGCTTCAATTTAGCTCTTAGAGTTCTCGAATTATTCTCTTCTCCTCTTCCTGTTTAATTTCTACACCTTTCGTCTTCGGGAACTGCAACACACCTAAAATCAGGCGAATAAAAATCAAAGGGTTTACCTTATAAATTACGCTTTTTTTAATTAGGTGCTTTTTATATATATTCTTTTTTATGTATTGTCTCTTTGCGTCAACTCTCCTGGTTTTAATCCCCGTTTCAAAATCATTGAATTTTCTGTACTTTGAAAAACATTATTTGCAATTTTTCCGAGGATTGGCAGTGTTTTTAAAAAGACTTCCTGTCTTCAACTACAAATGCTGGAATAGCACTGATTTGAATTGCTGATCGAGCAGCCATTTCGGTATTGTGGAAATAAATAAATTAATAAACAGATGCATTAATGCGCCGATAAAACACATTCTTAAAGTATTTGTTCCATACTCAAAAAAGCTTCTGGTTAATATAACTAGATGTATCTGGTTAAAAGATTTCTCGTTATCATTAAAGAGAAAGACTGAGTAGTATGACTAGAAAATGCTGATTACTAGTCTGATTGATTTTTCTGGTTATTATTTCTGATAACGCAAATTGTACAAAAAACTGGTTTTACAGTTTTCATCGCATCCGCCTTGTGACGATACATTTTAGACAAAACAAAGTGTCTATTTTACCGGGAAAACTTTTATAAAAGGATTATTTTTCTCTGAGGATATCAGGTGAATTTAGAATAATAATTAATGTTTCTTTAGGACGCCCCAGCTCTGTTTTATTCCAGCCCACTCTCCTCGACTATAATAAATAAGTTTACCAGGGTGTATCGTTACCTCAACCGAGTAATACCTTATCAGAAATATCTGATATTATAACCAGAAAAATAGTAAAGGCACATTTAAAAGGCCGATCTAGTTAACAGAGACATAATTTTCTTCCCTTTAACTAGATTTTTTTTTGTGTATCTAATGATCCTAATTGAACGCGTTGCGTAATATAAGGTACAATTATAAACCTATTAATTCTACGAAAGGCTAAAAACATTGTATAACGTATCAATTGACTCATACATTTTTTACTGTTTCTCTGGTCCCCCTAATCGATTTGTTTTGTCGAAAAAAGAGGTCAAGCACGACCATACTCGAGCACTGTCATTAATAAACTTTCCACGTTCGTCTTTCTAAGTTATCAAATAATCCAATTAATCCAAGGGGACGAAAAATGTCTATAAAAAAAAGTGATGGTTATCGATGCGCAAACTATTCCAATTAAACGTCGGAACATCTCGAAGAGTTTCATAAATAAAATGACTGATCAATCCATGACTTTTTCTACTTATACATTTTTTATTTACGCATGGATGTAATGACAGGTCAATCGTCCAACATAAATATTTACAAATCAACTCTTAAACAATATCCTACGGAATATCGCAGTCGCCCTTTTACAAAGACATATGTTTAAACAAAGTTTGTAAATAATAGGAACCCTAAATCATAATTTTTGTATCTTTCCTCAATTATGCCCTCTTTTATTCTTAATGATCAATTCTTAAATAATGACCTGCGAAATTTCACAGTCACTCTTATACAACGACATATGTTTAAACAAAGTTTGTAAATAATAGGAGCCCCAAATCATAATTTTTGTATCTTTCCTCCATTATCTCCTCTTTTTTTCTTGGTGATCAATTCTTAAGCAATGTCCTGCGAAATTTCGCAGTCGCTCTTATACAAATACATATATTTTTAAACAAAGTCTGTAAATAATAGGAACCCTAAATCATAATTTTTGTATATTTCCTCCATTATCTCCTCTTTTTTTCTTGGTGATCAATTCTTAAGCAATGTCCTGCGAAATTTCGCGGTCACTCTTATACAAATACATATATTTTTAAACAAAGTCTGTAAATAATAGGAACCCCAAATTACAATTTTTGTATCTTTCCTCAATTATGCCCTCTTTTTTTCTTGGTGGTCAATGACGAAGTCCATGCACTAGCGAAGCTCGGAGACCCGAAGACCGCTGGAGAACCTGAAGAGGACCTTGAATCCGGGACCATTGACGAAGGACAATGGTAGTTGGTACTTGCAGTCTCAATCATCTCTGTAAGACTCCGCTTTATCAAGTTATGCTGATAGTTAAACGTCCACTTGCGAATGGGTCCGGGCGTGGGATCGAGCCCGATTCTCCGAGTCTTGGTCCAGCCTTATCATTGATATCAGCCCGTCCCGCCGGCGAGGACGGAGATGACTCGTCTTCGTCATTCTCCCCGCTGTCCTTATCGTCTTCAGTCGGCGAACAAATACCGATCAATGGACTTCCGCCGAATTCGCCTTGCACCAGGGGCCAGCACCTTATCACCGCGATCAACGATATTCGCGCTGATTCCACGAGTGGTGACAAGAATGTCCAATAGACTAGACCCGGGACCGGGTCGTCGAAATGGTTTATAACAGACAGAAAAGCAATAAAGAAGGAAAGAATCGGCAGAGAAAGATAATTCCAGTCCCATGGTCGCATGACTCGTCTCGAGACACCAGCTGATTGGTTCGCCTTCAAGACGTCCTCTTCGGTGATTAGGGGCGGCTACTCTTTTACTCGGTGCACATAAATTAGAAGGTCGACGAAACTTGGCCCAAAAAAAAATAACGATAATGAAATAAAAAAAAGATATATCCAGTCCGATGTCCGTTCGAGCCAGCTCCAGCCCCACCGAGACGTCCTCTTCGGCAGCGATACGAGGTACTGACTTCTTTTAGTTTCGTTACTTCTTTATTTCGCGGTCCTCGTCGGCAAACTTCGAACTAATCACCGCTCCCCGTTGGAGTTGACCCCCTCGTGAGGTCAACTCGGGCCCCGGGACCCGACCTCCTGGCAAACTCGGCGGCACTCCTCCTCGAGGATACCTCTCCAGACTTGGTACCGATGATTCAGTCCAGGAACGGAATGGAGAACGGCCTTACTTCCTAGAACTCCCGATTTCTCTGCGGCGACTCCGTAAAAAATCTTCGCCACTCTAGAATGCAGCAAAGCCATGGCGCAGAGTGCGCAGGGTTCCCTCGTCAGGAAAGCCCAGTACCCGGTGCACAGATACGGTCCACACCTCGTCTTCGAGGAGTCTTCAGGGTCCTCTTCAGAGTCTCTTCTCGAGCCCAGAGGAACGGGCTCCGGAAATGAGAGATCACTTAACGATTCCGGGAAGCAGAGAGGAGTCACCTCCCGGAACCTCCTCTTCGTTTCTCTATCCTCAACCTTGGATATTTCAAGGTCACTGGAACCTTCCCCAGGGTCGGAATGATCAACTAGTTCCGTTTTCGACCCTAACGTTTCCGGCTTCAAACACTGACTCGAAGGGAGAGCTTCTTCGTCTACCTCTTCCGTCCCTCCCGGTTCTTCAGCTTTCTTCGGGCTGCAGCTCGAGAGACCTCCATTGATTTCTCCTTCTTCGTGTATTTTTTTCTCTTCGACCTCTTTTGGGCCGTTATTCAAGAAGCTCCCATTGCTTTGTGCAGTTTCGACAGTCCGCGACCCAATCAAATCTCTTTTACCGCAACTTTTCAAGTTCCAGGCTCCTCCACCCTGAAGACGAGCCACCAGGTCGACCGCCAGCATTGCAGCGTGCCACATCGGATGCTGATCGATCTTGCAAGCAGCAACAGCCAGGATCCTTCCATCGACAGGGTCTACGATGGCGGTTCCGCCGTTGCAGTCTTCATTTCCCACCGCTTCTCTCTTCGTGGCTTCGATGACGATCTTCATGAAGCCCTCGAAAGCGTCGAGCTCCTCTTCCAGGAAGAGAGTCCCGGAAAGGACCGATTCCAGGGCAAGATCGGGATGGAAGTTAATCGGCCAAATCTTGGACAATCTGCGTGCCTGGTCCCTCGTCCTGGGAACACTGGCCGGCACTTGGAGGACTTGGAACTCATCTTCCATCAGCGACAGGTCGAAACCTCCCTTCGTCAGCAACTTCTTCAGCTTCTCCTCGGTCAGAACGTTCGACAAAGAGCCAGGGGATGTTCTTCCTCCAGGAGTCCCAGAGGACCCCTTAACCTTGTCCGGTATCCTGGACGCATCCACCCAAGCCAGGAGCATCCTCGTCGAGGAGCACCTCTTCAAGTGGCCGAACTCCGGCCAGATCGCTGAAATACTTCGTATGGCCTTGGATATGTCCTTCTTCTCCTTGAGGATCCCCACGTAGACCTCCCGAAGAGGAGGGTCCTCCGTTAATTCCGGAGAAAGGACCGGCTTCAGGGTCCAGCTTCGCTTCCTTCTCTCGGAGGCCCTCGACTTCTTCGGCAGGGCGGCCGCCATTTTGGTCCCGCTCTTCGGACGCTCCTTTTCCTCGGATGGCCCTGAAAATATCCTCTCTTGATTCGCCGTTGGGAATTTTCTCTACTGCTTATTGTTTAGTATTCCTTTCCCTTCGTTTTGCTCGTGTTCTTTCTCTTTTACTCTAGTTTTTCCGTCGTTTGTTCTGGTTTTTCGATGCAACGCCAGCGGTAATCGATCGAGTGGGGGTCGCGTCTCTTCTAGGTCCCCTTCAGGAAGTGACACTTATCCGCGTCATCTTGGTGCTGATTGTACGAAGGTCACGGGTCGACAATGCGTGCAATCATCCTTCAACATTGGACGTTTTCATTCCGCGAGAGTTCAGGCGAAACCTTCTCGTGGTTTTGACGGAGAACCATGTCTTTTTTCGATTAGATATGAAGTGCAAATTCAAGATTTGAATATCGAAAACTGTGCCAACCGCATTCGCATTTAAGTATGGAGTGCTCATTAGGGAATTGAACGTCACACAGGAGCGAAAATGAAAAGCTGGTCAAAATTATTTGTCTGCCTAAGTTGAAGCTAAACGTCACAGATGGCGACGTTTTACGTCGATCTCTTCATCATTACTTTACCGAAATGACACATGGAACGCTTCAATTCGTATAATTCTCAACGTAGACTGTAAAACACTTCAACATGAATATAAATGTCGATAACAAGACGCGCCAGCTTATGTTCCCACTTGAGTATTCAAAATGGCGTTACCACCAAGTTAAAGAATTTTTGTATCTTTCCTCAATTTTGTTTTCAATTTGGTTT